CCGCTGACATATGAGACAGTGTTGATATTTAGACAGATGGACGGTGCCTTGGAAGGATAAAAAAAAAAAAAACTTCCAAATACACACAAACATGGACAACACGCGCACACACACGTTCCATACAGCAGTTGCAGCCCCTCAGCACTCCTCTGTCCTCACATGCTTGGTTTCCCCATCTAATTGCTGCCATTCGTCAGTGTGTGTGTGTGTGTGTGTGTGTGTTTGTGTGTGTTCGTCTGTATGCCAAGTGCTCCTGTATTCTGTGTTTTTGTGCTTCTTTCGTGATTCTGTCACTGTGCATTTACAAACGACTGTTGTGAAAAGAGAAACGAGAGAAAGCAACAGATAATCAGACAGACAGGTAAGAATGGGAAGACAGAGAAAGACAGAAAAGACGCAGAGATAGAGAAACTCACACTTATAAAAACACACACACACACACACACACACACACACACACACACACACACACACACACACACACACACACACACACACACACACACACACACACACACACACACACACACACACACACAGAACTGTCAGTGCCATAGGGCATACTAAACTTGTCAGCATTTAAACCTGCTGGCTTGTACTCTGGCTTGCCAAGTGGAATTAGTCTCACATAATACTCCAGCATCTTGATGGAACAAGGTCTCCAACTCTTGTAGTTATTCTATATAAATAAAATATTTTAAACAGAGTCATAATCATTTTACTGGATACACCCGTGTGTCTGTTGTTTCTCTCCACAGTCCTGATTCAAGGATGTGATCATTTTGTGCAGAAAAGCAGTCAAATATCCAGTAAAAAAAACAAACATCATGAAGTTGTGTCTAAAAAGACAAGAAACAGAAACAAAGGGAAGAAAATCCATATCTGTGTGACCTATGTTAGAGATATATCCAAATCTTTTTCAGCATGTAGCACATCAAAACTCTTGTTGCATGAAACAAGTTAATTGCAACTTGACTTCACTTTCATATAACTGATCCCGACGTGTAAACAAATGGGGCTGATTGCACTCTTTTGGGTAATCATGTAAAATGTTGCTGTGCTGATGAATAAATCTGTTTACGTTCTGTGTGGCCAGATTGTGTCTACAATATTACATTTATACAAGTGTGTGTGTGTGTGTGTGTGTGTGTGTGTGTGTGTGTGTGTGTGTGTGTGTGTGTGTGTGTGTGTTCAATAAGAAGGTCCATGTTATTACTTTTTGTTTTTTCGCATGTGCCTCGTGTGTGTGTGTGTGTGTGTGTGTGTTCAACATGATAATTTGTCAGTTTATGTTGTGAGGGGGCCAAACAGATAAGCAATCCACAGCTCAATCCTTCATCCTGCTCTGATTATAAATCAGCTGGAGCTCTCAGAAGCAATCAGCAAGAGCAATCTGCAGCCGCCACAGACACCTTATCAATCAGAGGGGACCATCACACTGTCACACATGTGCACATAAACTAAAGAAACACAACAGGCACGTATTTGTACCGTCCTGCACACCAACCCACAAACACAAACACACACACACACACACACACACACACACACATACACACTGGTAGACACAAAGGCAGGTATGCCGCAATTGTCATTCTACATCCCCGCCCCGCAGCCTCTTTTTTTGAGTTAAAAACTTCTTTCTCTTTTTTGGTGTTTTGTGAAAACAGGATCACAGAGTTGCAACAAGAGTTTCATCCAGCTAGCTGCCTCGCGGCCACGGAGCTGTGCAGTGCGAGACACATCACTCCTAATTACAGTCTGATATTAATAACAGAGAAAATATTAATCTTGGAGGTAAACACTAAGCCGCTTAAAGGAGAATTGCAAATAAATCAGATTATCTTATAGGAATATCCTCCGAATGGGCCGAGGGGGTAATGAGAAACCTGCGCCCAACCTGTCTCCCCCTCTCTCTCTCTCTCTCTCCCTCCCTCTCTCTCTCTCTCTCTCTCTCTCTCCCTCTCTCTCTCTCTCTCACCCTCCTCTGTCTCCTTTCCGACTTTTCTTTCTCTCTCTGTCAGTTTCCTCTCCCCATTCTCCTGCGGGATTGAAAAAGGTGTGACAGTGTGTACGTGTCTGGCTGTGTGTTTGCGAGCACATCTGTGTATTTATAAAACTGCAGTACAAGCCCCGCCCCCCCCTCCCCCTCCCCCTCACTCTCCACCACCTCCACCACCAAAACCATCACCTCCCGCCTTCTCTCCCTCTCCCTGCTGCTGTATTCATTTTTCACCTCCAATTTTATTTTTTCATCAGTCGGGGGGGCCCGCCGAGCAGATTCAATTAGGTTCTATGATTGGGCCGCTGGCATTCAGCAGGGTCATGGAAAGGTTAAAGAATTCAGTGGCACAAACATGATTATGGCTCTGTAGCATTTGATCAGAAGTAAGGTTTGTCACGGCAAAGTGGAGCCCCCCCCCCCTCTGTTTCTTGGACCGGGACCACCAGTTTTGGGCCCGGGTGTGATGTTGGCGCTGTATCGCATGTTTGGTTCAGTTGATTTTATTCCTTCAATGGTAATAATTACATTCTGAAGACGGTGGATTTAATGCAGGCATGAGAGAAACATACAGAGATATGCACACAAGCATGAGTGTTCACAGGTGAGAAACGCTGCTCCAACAGCAAGTAAGAAAACACACCAGTATATATACATGGAAACATCCATTCTCTCCCTCTCTCACACACACACACACACACACACACAGATAAACACACTCATACACACATTTGAGAGTAGCAGAGTAATAAAGCCCACCCTTGCAGTGAAATTAAAGCTAGTCAATGACACCGCGTGCTGAGTACACACTAAATCATTTTTATACCCAGATGAAACAGCCAACATAATACCAGCCCTGCACATGTCTCCAATATCACCTGGAGACTATGAAAAAAAAAAAACAATAACTAATCAAATATCATATTGGATGTGCCAGATTCATGTCAGAACAAGAGATTAATACTAAATATAGGAAATATGGTACAATAACAGCATGAGATCTTTTTATATTCAAAATGACCAGGCAGAGAGCACATTATGAGATATTGGATTGATAAACAGGCCGGGATGCTGTTGTTCGGTGAGTATAATAGAACAATAACGTTGCTCCTGGGTTAGCAAAGATTGCATTATGATTTTAATGTGTTTTACAGACACAAGCCCTTCACTGCGAGGAAATTATGTCAATAAATAAAGGGCCTTGCATTTTAAAACAAAGAGAATCATAGTCAATGAAAACAAAAAACAAAAAAAAAAAACGTGCAAATAGACAATGTTGTTTGGTTACTATCAGATATCTTCCACAGCCATGCATGCACAGACAATGCACATTATTCTGAAGCAGTGTGAGCGAGGAAACAAAAGCTTCGTAATAAAATACATAACTGGTGTTATATGCTTCTTTTTATAGGATATTCTCTAAACCTTAAATAAGAAATACAGAATAGAAGAATAGTACAAAAGCTTAAAGAACATTACACTTCAGCGTCTTTATATATTTGTGAAATGACTGAGGGTCAATGTCTTGGAAAAATACTCTGCCAAGGTTACAATTTGCCCATATTCATGCACATTTGCACACATCTATTTCCTCCCACTCACACCTCAATCTGCTCCTGAGTAGATTCATTTTGACACAGCATGTCAATCATCTCCTCCCCTCAAATCACCACAAGTCATAACCATCAGGGAGCATTCCCATCTGCCACTATCTGCCACTTCAGGTGTGCAACACCAGCCAGACGCAACCAGTCAATAGAGCTGTTTGGAGCTCCAGTTCCTCGCTGCGGCCTAATTGCCGGTGCAACACTCAAATATGTCCTACACTTCCCAATTCTTGTGAGCCCCCAACCTCCCACTAAGCAATCCCCATTCCATACTCAAGATGGGTATTTACATGCCCCACACCGCAGAGAGCAAACAAGCTCATTTAAAAGTTCACATGCTAATGTGTGACATTTAATCCAAACTTTACACGGGGAAAAGGACACGCAACAATAGATTTTGATTCCTTTCTTGTCCGTGAATCTCATCATCTTTTGCCTTCCATATTTATGAGTTGAAAAGACGGGACACCTTCGAGGGGAGAGCGGGGAACAGAAGGGGAGTTTACTGTTTGGAAATTAAGCTGCTTAGTGTAATGCACTCCAGAGTGCCCTTCTTTGTTGATATTTAATAATTACCTAATTTTGTTGTTATTTCTACCCAATTGGAAAAAAATCCACTGAATAGTTGCAGCGCTAAGAACAAATCATCCTTTTATTATTAGTTTTAAATGGCTGCAGGCTCCGACATTTAGCTGGCAAGTGTCAGCAGCTTTAATGACAACTATGTGCAATATCAGCTGTTGATAATTAAAGTTCATTTCACGTGTTGGCCAAAAAAAAAAAAAGTTTCTGGATGTTGTCTAAAAAGCTTTTTATCTGAGAGAATATATATCCTATAGAAACACTGTCCTGTTACGTTTTGATATTCCAAAAGTATGGAAAGAATTGAAAAATTGAAAAAAATAAAGTGTGCCAAAGGGGCTTCCAGTTGGGAGGGGCAGTTGACTGTGAGTGTGTATTTATCAGGGGAATTTGCGGTTTTTACGGGCTGACACGAAGAGGCAGAGGCACATGCGACGCATATTAAATTCACATGCTAAATGCTGTTTAATCTGGATTTGATTTGTAGGTGTTCACCACTTGGAGTATATTTGTTAAATAGTCATTCCTTGGTATATATGCCGCTGTATCTGTTTATATCTTTTAATTTATTTTCCCTGGGATGTGGGCTGAGCATAGAGATAAGATCAAACTGCTCCGTCCCTCGGGGGGAATCTAAGCCTTATGAGGCCACATGATTAATTTCCATTGCATGTCTAACTTTGTGGGCAGTAAGAAATGATTTTCAAACTAAAGAGTGAGAGAGGAGCTCGGCTAAGTGAATGCAAGGAGAACAGTGACACATGAACACAGTGACTGTTTGTGTTTTTTTTTTCTTGTGTTTTCTTTACCTCAGAGAGAAGCGTCTCCTCCTTCTGGTGAAGCTGTGACAGCTCCCTGTGCTGCCTCTCCCCCTGCTTCCTGCTGACCTTCAACTACAAGAGAGATGGAGGGTATGTGACAGGAAACGGCTCAATAACACTAATGTAATGCCATAATTCCTGTATAGCCTACTTTGAAGCCTAATTAGATGCATGGTGATTACATTTCCTAATGGTTTCGTCACATTACATTCACATGAGGTTTGTAAATAAGACTTAATTAAAATCAAAGCGACAACAATGAGTCAACAGTACTGAGCAGAATAAAACACAGAGAAGGGTCTTTTTGTGAGTGTTAAAGACAAAGGTTTGTGATGTACAAAAAGTCAGTTTCTCTCTCACTTCTTTTCTCCCTTTCTTATTGCCTGTCTCTCTTTCTCTCTCTCTCTCTCTCTCTCTCTCTCTCTCTCTCTCTCTCGCACACTAACACACATTCACGCGCACCCGCACAGATCGACCAGGACAGGCCAGGGATGAGCACACCCCATCTGATCTGTGGCCCGTTCATTCATTAGACCCATGCTCTCCCCTATTGATTTCAGCTTAAATAATGAGAAAGCTTATCCAAAAATCTTTAGCATTTGGGCTCCAACTTAAGGGAATCGATGGGGCCATTTCCCATTTTGAACAGCACATACGCAGGGGTTTTATGTACGGCGAACGGGACAAATCCCGATGCTGATAAATCAATAGGCCTTTTTGTCGATGGACAGGCACGCTTGCACACACACACGCATGCATACATGGACACACATGGCTGATAAATGGTATTTTTGAGGCAATTAAAGTGAGCTGTAAACATATGAAGGCCAATCAATTGGTCAGTGAGGTCTATTATCAAGGCTTTAACACTGATTTAGAAGGGGCTTTAAGGAGGCAGTGGCTTTAAGTGTGGCACAGTCACTTATGCAGATCAGCAGCAGCAACAGCTAGAGACCTGCACAGATCAGTGCTGCAAGCTGGTAAGCTGCTCACACAACAAGATAGCATACATGTCAGTGGTACAGAGAGTTACACTGCTGCACACGTTGAAGGATGTTTGTAGTTTCTGGTAGTGGTGATGTGAGGGAAATAAAAAAATGACTTCTAAGGGAGTGGAATAATGCAATGAAAAAAAAGTGCTTTTATTTAATCAAACTTAAAACAGGGAAAAAAAATCCAATGTGCAAGCAATATATTTATATATAATATACTTGCTGCCAATCAAATCTTTGCAAACAAAAACATTGTCAGGAATGCATTAACTCCCCTTTTAGCCATAGGCGTTGCTGAGGATTTGTATCATATATTCTCTCCTTCGTTCATTAAAAATTCAGTTTGCATCTAGGTGAAATAAGGAGAGGGGAGGGGCGGAGCTGTACGCTGGACAATTCTATTTTAGCAGGGGTAGACAAGCTTGTTAGGAGGAAAACGAATACATCAGCGCTGTCCACCCTCCAGGCTTTCCCCCCCACTGCTTCCACTTTGCTAAAGGTGAGACACATGCGTTACTAAAGCTAACCTACAGACAACATTTCCCTGAGGTAATTGGTTCCGCATTAATATTCATTTGATTCAGTATTCAGCGGCTATGACAAGGCTTTCTGCTTTGATGCTCTGTGCCTGGGTCTGCACCTCCACCACACACAATGTTAACCTCACTTTTTTGCTGCTATCCGAAACACTACAGCAGGATGCAACTGTGACTTAAAACCCTTCTCACCCTTTTTTTATATTTGTGGGACTTTTCTATCTGGTTTCTCTCGTTTTTGACTCGGCGGCCAACATGCCCCCGTCCCTTTCATTCTACTGTTTCACATTGCTCGATGTGGTGCGTGTGCATGTGTGTTGCTGAGGCATGACATTTCAATTGTGCGTCCAATCAAATTGGCAGAGAGGCGGTAAGGAAGGTTGGGGAGTGAAGAGGGGTGTGGGGGTGTTCTGAGAGTTGCAGACCAACCGTTACCATGGAGAACCACTTCTGTCAAAACCACCAAGGTCACAACTGCTGACCTGCACTGTTATGGGACTTCTGAATAGCATACTGTATATGGACATGAGGATTTGTCTCTTTATTTCTTTGCCTCTTTGTTCTTTTCCTTGAGTTGCTTTCACATTTTTTCTTTTCATCTTTCTTTTTCACACTATAGTGCTTTGTTTTTCTCTCTCCTTTCTGTCTTTTTTTTATGTTTCCATGTATATCAGCATCTCCTTTCTTTGGCATTTCTCTCTCACTTCCATATTTAAGATTGACTAATTGTACCATTATGAGACCTGTGGTGTTGCCGAATCCATTATGTATGGCCTGCGCTGGCAGTGCGTCTGAACACAGCCTGTTTTGAGTCATTATAATTCAGTTTGCTAACACACAGCCATTGTGCTGGTGTGGGGTTAGGGGAGATGGGACGATAAAATATTGAGGGCGAGCAAGGCAGCTGCAGATGCTCGCTGTCATGTGTGAGCGAATGAATGTTATGACAAGCGTGTTTAAACATTCATGCGGGGAGGAGAGTTTAGGAGGGGCTTTTCATTAACACCAATATGTCTTCGTCGGCCCGGTGCAGACACTGCTGCTGTAAGCATGACAACAACAGGGAGGGGAGGAATTAACATCTTGAGAGGAAACTGTCACAGTCGCACATAAAACGAGGTAGAAACGCTCAACACTGTGCATGAGTACACACAGATGTACACATTTCATATTGTCTGAGCGCTCTGCACCATCTTACGTCTGACATGAAAAGTACTAAGTGAAATTGACACCGTACTTTCAAACCCTAACAGACAGCAAAACAACTTTCTCTTGTTTACCAGACAAACAATCTGGAAATTGGTAACATGGTGTTCTGAGCTGATCAAATAGCTCACACGGTGCAACTGAGCAACGCATTCAAAACAGGAGTGCAATGGGTTCTCACATCTTCCTTGTGACACAATAGAAATATTGTTTTTTAAAGCAAGAATAAGGATGTGGGAGGTTACTAGGCCAAACTTACATCACCCACCACACTGTTATATGCTGTCAGGAGATTTGACCTGCTAGCTACAGTGCAATCTCTTGGCAGTTCCTGGAGACTAGAGAGAAGAAAAGCTATTTGTGGCATTTGTTGGGAGCAGAGCAATGGCCAACTTGTTTAAATAACCTTGAAAAAGCTACATGAAGTAAAATCACTGCAATAACAGTGCTGTCTGTAAATGGGTGAACACTGTGTGCTCACAGTCGTTGAATCTCTTACCTCTATCAGCATAGCAAGAGTGTGTCAATCTGTAGCTTTTGATAAAACAAACAGCATCACATTTACATTACAGTAGTGTAGTAACAGAGCTCAACATCATTATTTTCATACTGTGGCATGTTATTATGGAAGAAGAAAAAAATCTAATCTGAAACAAATGGAGTGAAAAATCAATATGTTGATGATCTCATGAAGTCGAATCAAGGCAATGGAGAAAAAAAAAAGGGAGCATCAACTATTCTTAACATAAGTGGCTTTGACTTGGAAAATGTGTTTGCATAACATGAGCTCTGGATAATGTCATAAATGGCTTTAAATGCTGCAAGGTGCATTAAAAATATGCACTGTCATCAGTTTTAGCTACACCTTGACGCAACAATCTGGAATTAATCTAGTTTTCACTGGTCAAGCAATTCCATTTTGATATTCAAATTCGGTGCGTAGGCGTGCCAGCGCATGTTCTTGCAGGACTGATCTAATCAGTCTTAAATCAGTTAATAAGCCAAGGACACAGAGGAGATGACTCAGCTGATGTGAGCATGAGCTAATATTAGCATCTCACCCCTATTCAAGACCTGTACAGCACAGAGTAGCATCCACTATTTGGTCTTCTCTTTACAGAAGTGCAGGCTTTGGATGTTAATGTGCAGTTTAGCTCACCACAGCGAATTCCATTAGCACATTAGCAAAGGTGCCGTGACCCAATGCTAATGTTGGTAGGAGCTTTAATACCCGTTTCTTTTCTCTCTTTTTTTTTAAACACCTTAACTCAATTATTAGATTAAAAAAAAAGAACTAAAGGTTACCAAAATAGGGATTACAAGATCATGGCAGATTGCTGTCTAGAGTATTGATATGGCAATATATTTGACGTCATGACATTTTACATTCTTCAGGTACTTAGATAGTGTGATGTATCATTATACAACTCCTATTATATTATACCGTATTGTGTTGCATTGTATCCTGAGTTACCCTGCAACTCCCACCCCTACTGTCCATCTGTCTGGTTCTGCTTCAGGTTTCTGCCTGTTAAAAATATGTTTTTCTCAGGGGCGCAGGTAGCCTAGTGGCTAGTGTGCAAGCCCCATGTACAGAGACTATAGTCCTTCAAGCGGGCGGCCCGGGTTCAAATCCAACCTGGGATTCCTTTCCCGCATGTCATTCCCCTATCTCTAAATGAAGGCATAAAAAGCCCAAAAATGAACCTTACAAACATAAAAGTTATGAATTGCTCCTGCAATTAAGTGTTTGTTGATGGGTAGATTCAGCTTAGTCTCTGTAAATACTATGACATTTTTTTGGACTACTCTTGATCCAGATAACCTTTGTTCAGTCTGGTGCTGTATGAATGAAAATTGATGAAGTTGATTGATTGATAGGGGGATAGAATGTACCTGACAAGTTGTTGTTTGTGTGAAAATGAGAAAGAAATATCAATTGCCGCACTTTAAAGAGTCTTGACTGAGCTCCAACACACAATGTAACTCTAAACATATCAAATATTTCTGACACAGTGTGTTTTACTTGAAGCTCGAAACACTGTCAGCCGTGAAAACAAAACCAGAGCAGCAGATGAGCACAACTCTGTCAAAACTAATTCCCATCTACAAACCCCTCGTAATAAACAGCATGTCAGGCGCATGCAGAGGCAGAGGACAACAGATATACACATACAGGAGTACTCAATACATCCACACAGAAACTTAAACGGACTATTAATTAAATGCCAGAGCATGAAGTTGACTCGGGTGAGGCGGTCTGCGACACCACAAATCTGGGAGACTTCCTGTAAGACATAAATCTGTTGAATCCTCCCTCTCTCTCTCTCTCTCTCTCTCTCTCTCTCACTCTCTCTCTCTCTCTCTAGCATAGGCACAACAAAGAAAGTCTTGTCTCTGGGTGTCTCCCTCCCTTCTCTCTCCTCACCATTCATTAGAAGCACAAGAAGCTGTGGTCAGGTTCAAAGAAAATCTACACTCTCTCTCTTTCAGTCACTCATTTATTCTTTCTGTCTTTTCCTTTCTGGTGTTCGCTCCCATTTTTACTCATTTTCTCTCCCTCTCTCTCCCTCTCTCTCTCTCTCTCCCTCTCTGTGCCTCTACAAGTCTCTCTCCCTCTCCCTCTCTAAACACTGTCTCCTCCACATGGCCCAGATAATGAGTGGTGCAGCTAAACGAGAGGAAACACGGCTCACTATTAGGATGGGAACGCTGACTGAAGGTTTTAAATAAACGTAGAGAACTTGAGGCCAAATTGTATTTCCAAGGACATAAACTAATGGAACAGGCAGACATTCTCTGAGCAAATACACACTCTGTTTAAACAACCATTATAGTTGTAAAAATATACACGTCCATGTGGATCTAACTGAGACAGACTGGCAGAAAGCGGACAGAAGCACACAGAAATGCTCCTATCCTTGCATACGCTTTCAAAGCCGTTTTTTGGGGGGGTATTCAATATGTCTTACTTCTTTGGTGTGTAAAGCTTATTACCTTACATTCAGAAGCAGAACAATAAGGACAAGAGGAAAAACATAAATGTTTGTCTATGTCATTGAGAACTAATTAGGCAAATGTGTTTTCTTAAGTGTCTGTGATACGCTCTCAGGCATATAAATCCACACCCACATATAAACACAAAGAGGAGCCCTGTCTGCCTCACTCCATGAGGTTAATTGTGCTATCTAGGCTGATTAGCATAACTAATTAGGATGCTTGTTAACAGATAAGTATTATTTATTCAATTAGCGCTCTGTGTGTGTGTAAGACGCTGTGCGTGAGTATGGATCCCCTTCATCACTGGCACGAGTTCAAATGAAAATGAAGCACAGCTAAGTAGGCATGAAGTGAGACCTGTGGTTGTGTGTGTGTGTGTGTGTGTGTGTGTGTGTGTGTGTGTGTGTGTGTGTGTGTGTGTGTTCACTTCATCATTTATCTATTCTACACACACACAGATGCTCGCCATCAGGTGCTAGACACACGCCTGCCACCCCCTATTCCCAACACATACAAAGTGTGCTCAGACACACACACGCCAAGCTTCCCTTGCTGTAGCTCTTAAATCCCTAATCATCATCATTAGCCGTCTGTTTAGCATAATTAGCATTGTTAACCAGATGAGCAGAGTCGAGCCAGGCTGTTCCAGTCACAGCTACTGACATATGTCACCCTTCCGGCACCTTTCCGTCCTGTTGAAGAGGCTACTTGTCCTCATCAGGTGGTTTTATGGCAAATTTGCATACTTCCACTGATTGCTAGTAGATAATGTAGCAGCTGATGTTAGCCACATTCGGATGTGTGCATAAAAGTCCAAAGGGTTGATTTCTCTTCTTTTATTTTTTTGCAAACAGCTTGTAAAGTGACACAGCTCCTGCAGTTGTACCAGTTAATAGAACAATACCACTCTCATTCCTCCAATTTATATATTCATGTTTGCAAATGCAGATGCTGCCTTTTGTTTGTGATGCTTAACATGCGCTTCAAGCCGACAGTAAACACGAAGAAAAAAAAAAAAAAAAAAAGAAGCAAATCAACACAACACTCCTCTGGTCTTCAGCTCACAAGTGAAAACTCACAAACACTCCAACACTCACAAATAACCAGAGAGGGAAAATGAAAGAGAGAGAAAGAGAGCGGGCGCGCTACATTTACTGAAATTAAACATTTTCTCATCAGCCTGAGGGTGCAGCAGGCCCACTAATGTATTATTCATCCCCACTTCACAAAGGAACATTAATCAATTATGAAGATATGAGGATCTTAAAGTATAGAGGAGAGACGAAGAGCGGCCCGTTCGTATTAATATGCGGCCGCAATCGTGCGCCCCCCGCCCCTACCCCCTTGCTCCTCAAATCAATATTTTGCAGATTAATTTGGAGCGGTTGTGGCGAGATGGCAGGATGGAAGGAAAGGCGCGGGTGTGGAGGGGGTGGAGAGGAGAGAATGTCTGAGGTCTGCATTAAGGTGAAGTGTTTTGCTGTTTTTCTTTTTTTGTTTTTTTTACAAGTATATGAGAGTGCACCGCGGGTAATGATGATGTCTTCTTGGCTGTTTTAATTTCACATAGAGAGAACACTCAATTAAGAATACTCCATCATAAAAGTTATCACCAAAAGATGACATGTTAAATTAAAGCCTTGAGATAAAAGGACGTACAAGGAGAAAGTTTTGTGAATTCTATTAATATTGATTTAAGTCTTCTCTTAAACGTAAAGGTTTGAAATATTTGGGATTTTTACTTTGGCTCAGGGTGAGTTTATTTAACTTCCTCTTCTTCTAACATTTTCAAAAGCTCATTACTTCATACACTAGAATACAAATGTCTGAACACAATGGACTTCTTATTTGCTGCCAAGCTTACACACTTAGTTTCCCCCATTGTTTCTGGTTACACACACTATGTCTGCTTTTACATGAATTTGCTTACCTCAGCATTCAAGCTAGCTGTCTGCTCAGCCCACGTTCTAACAGCTTGAGCATGGGCCTTTCTCTCCTCCTCAATTGCCCTCTTCCATTCGTCCTCCTTCTTCTCTCTCTTTTGCTGCTCCTGCCTTCTCCTCTCCTCTGCTCTCTGAAGCTTCTTGTCATGTTTCAGTCTCAGCTCGTCTTCTTTTTGGCTCCATTCCTCCTGAAGCTCCCTTGCTCTCACACTCAGTTTGGAAAGCTAAAATGGGAAAGAAAAAAAGAAGATACATGCAGGCAGACGTATCTCTGCAGTCTGTAAAACAAACTGAACTAGGGCCAGACCGATATGAGATTTTTTGGGCTGATACCGATATCTGTATTAGGAAGTGAACACTATCTGCCAATAGTGTAATACAATGATGCTCAAATGAAATGCTGTTTGACTGGTGAATAAATCTAGTAATATCTGCGATAAAATTAGCCGATACCGAATACTGAATATGCTTATATCGGCCGATAATATCAGCTGAGCGATTAATCAGTCGGGCTCTAATCTGAAAGTCAAAGTGACAATTTGAGAGCAGATCATTGTGAGTCAGCTCTGGAGAAAGAACGTTTTTTCTTTTTTTTAAAGCGCATGATATGTTTATCTTTGATGTCCAGAAATTATTAGAAATATGAATCTCTGAATTTTTCATTCATGTCCTGTACTTATGTTTCAAACTTTTTGAATATAGACCACACAAACATGATAAAAGTTATTATCTATTGTCATATTTCAGAGGTCAATGAGTCATTAACAGTTTAATCACAGAGGCCCTTCCCCCTCTTAGCTCCTCACATGGTTTCATTTGAATAAGTCTTAAAATGACACAATATTTCAGACACAAATATAAGAGTAGAGAAAGGTCCAAAAGCTGAACAGAGATTGTGGATCACAAAAACCCTAAGCTCAATCTTGTCACCCTATTCATAGTGTTGAAACCATGTGACTCAACAGCTGTCACCTGTAAAGTAGTTTGAACTACATCCATCTAAAGCATCTTCTGCAATAAAATGCTATTTACACACTGATTCATCAAAATGAAGAATCTTATAATTCCATATACAATGAGAATCTGTCGTTTTGAACTTCCATCACTTTGAGTGTAATTCACTGATGATTTTGTAAAAGCAGGACTTTTTTTACAATGACGTATTACTGCCTTTACTTGAGGTTGAAGATCTGAGAGTGGTCATATCCGTGTTGCCTACCTGAGCGTGTGAGTCAGACCCCTCTTGTTGCAGCAGCTCAATGCTAGCTCGCAGTTTAGTGATGCAGATGTCTTTCTCAGCGATCTCCTTGGTGCTGTCTTTGTGGATCCGCTGCAGACACGAGAGCTCGCTCTGCAGGTGCACCAGCCTCTCACTCCTTTCAGACACCTGCGATGCAGTCTGCAGATGAAATGTTAAAGAAATAAACGAGCGAGTCACTCCCAGGAAGAGTTGCTAACATCATTTGTCTGAGCGTCAGAGGTGGTGTTCATTAGTTCTCCATAAAACTCATACAGTTAGGATCTAGCAATAGATGATTAAGCCAATTCATTTATCTGTTGATATCTCATTTGAAAATAGACCTGTCATACTTTTACTCACTATTACTGACATTATAAGAATATGTAGATTTTACCATTTCTGTTAAACTGCAGTTTATGTCTTTATTTTTTGATTTTGTCAGACTGTGCAGAGGAAACACAGGGTCGAGTATGCAAGACATAAAAACTACACCAAATAAATAAATGAAGGTTACGCAGTGAAAACTGAAACAATGTCAGTGATTGATATGTGATAGATCAGTTCAAAAGAAACGTTGTCATTGGTCCTCAAAGGGGTCTTATCCTGGGGACGTATTGAGTTTCTATAAAATCATTTATTGTTATAAGACACAGATGAAGTTCTTTGTCAATCATATTAATCAAGGCTGTGTGTGTGTGCATGTGATTTCGTGCAGACAGATCTCCCCCTGCATCTGTCGTGCAGACGTTCCAGTTAAACAGAAACACAGGCAGAATGAAATAAATATATCAACATTTGCTGAAAAGATGATTAGCAGAACAAGCTCCAGTTACTCCGCTTGTTTCTCGTTGGCTCTGTAATCACACAAACCACTAATTAGCAGCAGTGCAAATGAGTCAACTCACAAGCAGCATAAATAAACAGCAACCAGCCAACACACACATAAACAACCAACAAGCCCCGGGTTTACCACAAGCGCAAATGAATGTGTGTTTGCATGTATGTGTGTGCATAACCGTAAGCCACAGAAGACAGTAAAACAGCAGTGGGTATAATTTAGTGACACCCTGTTAGGAGGTGTGGGAAGGCCGTAAAAAACTCTCCCTTTTAATCCCGGCTGGCGACGCCATGTTTGTTACCCAGGGCTCTGAGATATGCTGGTAATTCATCACACACGCCTCGGTTTCCTGTTAAACCTGGCTGCACATGGAGCGCTTCAAGCACAGCTGCCAAACCAATATCGTAAAAAAAAAAAAAAAAAAAAAGACTTCCTCAGCTCGTAGACAGGCTACTAAACAATAACAAGCATGCTGCAAAAAACAGAAAAAATCACCTTAATAAGTCATTTAATTGTGTAGTCTGTCTTAGAACATCTGCAGAAAAGATGGAGTAAAATGATGAGATTCTCTCTCTCTTTCTTATTTTAGAAAATACACTGAAACCTGTGACAACCTCGTGGAGTACGTACACTGGTGCAAATAAGAGCGGGTGTTACGATATACTGAAATCTAAAAATCAGATCTTCAAAAATGATCTTAATCAATCACACAAACTTTGAAGGGGTGTGTTTCAGTTGTAAAAAACTGAAATAAGAAATTATGGAATTGATTACCTTTCGCTTTTGCTGGAAACTGTCCCTTTGATTCCTCTCCAGATCAGAGAGCATCACGTCCTTTGTTTCCAACGGGATCTTCAGGTCTTCCAAGGAACCTGATCTGTAGCAGAAAAAAGAGGGACAACAAAAGATTAGAAAAAAGTAAACCAATAAAATTAGCATATGTTTCTTGGAAAATGGCTGGAAGGTACTTTTTCAAGTTGGTGCACTCAATATGTTAAAGTTATCTTAATTACAGAGGTGATAGGCGTATTTTCACCATCCGTATGGAAAAATAACATTCATAATCTAAATTATTATCTAAAGTATTATTTTCTTCAAGGCCTTTTTTTAACCGGTTCACCCATAAGGATGCTTAAATAAGATTATTTATTTATTCATCTTTTGCTTACTGCAATAAAACAGAAAAATAATAGGTAAGCAATTACTTCATGTACCGACGCATGTAGTGTGTATACAATGTAATATACGATTCATAAAAAAATATAATTCAAAAGCAGCAAAGAGATGCTGAGCCTGGTGAAAATTGTGCTAGGTGACAGAAAGTGGAGCTGATAGGAGGTTGTGTGAGTGTGTATGTGTGTTTCCCAGCGGTGAAAAATACTTTAACTCTGCCCAGACACCTTTCTGAGTCACCAGTGACAGCTGTCACACACCCAAGATGGAAGGGGAGAGAAAAAAAAAAACAGATCACACAGTACTGTGGCTTACTCTTCACAAACGCAGGCACGTACAACACACACACACACACACACACACACACACACACACACACACACACACACACACACACACACACATATTTACCAGCCTCATGAGATGAGTTATTCTGATGAAACTTTGCGCAGATTAAAAATGTTAAACTCACATTTGATCAAGCGTGTCTACACGTTCGCACCAAGCAGGGAAGGAAAGGCAAGATTTGACAAAAGTGACATGTGAGTGGAGAGAGAGCGCTGAGAGTTAAATCTTTCACTTCAGGAAGGAAAAAAAAACAACTTTCAGTCAAATGGAGTAAAAGCCACAGAGGAGAGAGAGAGAGAGAGAGAAAAACTGACTTTAGATTACAGTCGGTTTCTGTATAGAAGAGCCAGGAACTGCTATGTGTTGCTCTGCTGCTAATTTGATTCTAACTACAGTCGGTCTTTGTTATGAATTATCACTTTGCTGAGTGTTTCACTGAGAAAATATTTTTCTGAAACGCTCGAACAAAAACTTTAAAATTCAAGGCATGCACAGTCAAAAGCCTTTATAAGTACATAAACGTGTAGACAAAGACAATCTTTCCGCAAAGATGTGCAGAAATTTCAGTCTGCGACTTTTTTTTTAAGGCTCTTCTTTTTAAATAAAGTGAAAAAGGTTGGTCCTTTTTATTAGCATTTTCAAAACTTATGTCCTTGTCACTTTGATGGCAAAACGCTTAAATCACCCCCAAATATAGGAGACATTCTTTGTAGACGAATGACCTGAAATGGGAATAAGTTGAAAAAGAAAAGAGGGTTTTGCATGAATAGTAACTGCAGCCAATTTTATCCCTATTTCCACCTGCACAGTGGGGTGGTAAGTGTAGAATACTATGTGCTTCTACGTGTGTGTGTGTGAGTGTGCGTGCGTGCATGCGTGTGTGTGCGTGTGTGTTTGTGTGCATAAGTGTGCTGCAGAAAATACTCTTTAGAAAAAATAAGGAGCATCATTTTGCCTTGGAAAAGTACTTTCTTTTTTAAAATAAATACATCCAAACCAAACAAATATGTTGTCAAGATGAAAGAAATAAGAAGAGAAAAATAGTTTGTTTCACTTAATCATACATGTTCTATGTTCAAAAGGCGAATGGATGAAAAATGAATCAAGCATTTTAGGTAAAATAAATATTTTCAGACTCTACTGCTTTATAGAAAGAATAAACAAAGGTAAACATGCCACACTTTTTTTCGGCAACAAGTTAATACATCCATGCAGTTCAAGGTTTGTGTGTGTACATGCATGTATTTGTCGGAGTGTGATTGCAAATGAGGTCCTGATTGTATGTGAAAAATGAGGCTATAGGATTTAATATATTGTTGTATATGTTACAGTAGATGTTCTAAATAAATGACACTATGTCAAACAACTGATGAACAGGGAATTCCTATTTAGAGCGATAAGTGTTGTTATGATTACTGTGTGGACAGAGAGAGCGGGCGAGTGAATGTGACTGAGGACAGTGTGAGTGTGTGTGTGTGTGTGTGTGTGTGTGTGTGTGTGTGTGTGTGTGTGTGTGTATCACAGTGAGTCTGTGTGATATTAAAGCAGGCTCTCAATATCTCAAGCTGTCACTCAGGCCTATTAGGCAGGGCTAACAAAATTAGTCATGAATATGCAGTAATAACATGCAAATTGCCACCCCTTCCCCACCCCACCTTGTGTGTGTGTGTGTGTGTGTGTGTGTGTGTGTGTGTGTGTGTGTGTGTGTGTGTGTGTGTGTGTGTGTGTGTGTGTGTGTTTGTGTTTGTGTGTGTGTGTGTGTGTGTGTGTGTGTGTGAGCATGTCTGTTTGCCCTCAGGGCTATATGCATTGGCTCTGTAAACCCAATTCTTTCTACATCATTACAGCAACAAGACATAATTCATAAGAATAATATAAACATGCATGCAGCCTGGCATGCACACACACACACACACACACATGAATGCACGCATACTCACACAAACAGAGGGCACTGGTCCCCCTTGCTGCCCACTTTGCGTATCAGGGCTTATACACTGCAGGGTCTTAAAACATGTTGAGAGGAGTTTTAGGGTTTCCGGTGCCACTCCAGTGGTAAAACACACACAATCACCCACACGATCGTGCATGTGCGCACACAAACATGTAGATCGTCTGTTGCCTGCAAGTCCCCAGGGTGATGTTTGACACAGCCTGGGTGCTGCCACAGCAATTAACCTCCCTGTTAATGAGAAGAGCTCTGTCAAGCTGCCAGATGGCACCGCCTGGCACACTGCCATGCACACAAGCACACACACACACACACACACACACACACACACACACACACACACACACACACACACACACACACACACACACACACACACACACACACACACACACACACACACACACACACACACACACACACACACTTTACTCTCACAAGTGCATACATACACATTTATGCACATACACATTGAAGCACACGCACACAGCTCATGCTCCCCCTGCTACACACCTAACTGTTGCTGGTTGTCATTGCCTCTCATCCCTTCCTCACCCAGCCCCTCCCTTCTCTTCTCTATTGTCTTCAATGGCTCTCCACCCCCCCCTCCCACCACTCCCTCCCCCCCTCCATCTCTGGCAGCTGCTTATCCCTGTCGCAGCACTGCAGATGTCACAACTCACCAGCTGGGAAACAGTAGGGGAGGAGAATACAGAGGGAGATTTTAGAGCAGAGGAGGAGTTTGTTTCATCTCCATATTTGACATTTGGTTTTGACAAGCAACCAAGGGGAAAAGGATTTATAGATTTATTCTTGATTGTTTGATTGATTGTGTCACTGGGTTGCCTGTTTTTAATAAAGTTTGTACATGTGCTTAAAAAAAATAGTTTCTGCTGGAAGTTGTATAATCATGAAATGTATACGCAACAACTTATGAGTGTACAATCGGGCATGTGTTGTGTGTACCTAAAATTCTGGGGTTAGTCCGTGTGTGTATGTGTGTGTGTATGTGTGTGTGTGTGTGTGTGTGTGTGTGTGTGTGTGTGTGTGTGTGTGTGTGTGTGTGTGTGTGTGTGTTAATGAGCGTGGCACTTGGCCGGGGCACGGCCCACTGTGTATGCCTGTCTGCGTGTCCACACAGCAGCCCACCAGGCCTGCGTATTGATCAGTTAGCTTGGCCTAATAGGAGAAGAGGAGCCTGACCTGGGAAAGTCAATATGGAGAAAAAGAGACATATCCTCCTCCGGTCCTAAGAGGAAAACGGGAGAGAGAGGGAGAGAGGGAGGGAGGGAAAGAAAGGAGGAAAGAGGGAAAGAAACAGAGAGGGAGGGGAGAGAGAGAGAGAGAGAGAGAGCTATAATACTGTCCTTGCACAGAAGACTCGAGAGACTTAGAAATAAAAAGCTGGACGATAGAAAAACAAGCAAAGCCATGAGAAAAATAATAATGTAACAATAATGAACCTCCAGTCTCCTAAGCTTTAATATCTTATCACTTTTGTTAACAAAGAAAAGTTTTGAATTAGAACAGTTACGCTGAGGGATACTGTCGGAATCTGAAATAAGTTAAGTTCCTACCTCTCCCAAATGAGAATCAGGATGTTCTGTCAGAGCTTCTTTTTTTACCTAACTAACTTTCAGCATTTGACTGCTTTTGGCAAAGGAAAACAGCACTCCGGTTAACTCGAGTGAGGGAAAAAAAAAACTCTGCAGGAGACTATACTAAGGGAAATAATTAAAAAAATTGGGAGGAGACGGAAAATAAAATAAAAAGCTGACATCCACTCACACATCAATACATCGATAGATCAATGTGTGTCTATGTGTGTGTGTGAGTGTGTTCAGTGCTCAGCAGAAATATATAAATAAATCTGTAGATAAACAAAAAACCAGAGGAAACGGAAAAGTAGATAAAAGACTTAGGCTTCACCATGCTCACATTTACACACACATACACACACACACACACACACACACACACACACACACACACACACACACACACACACACACACACACACACCTGGCTGAGTGATGCTACCCTGGAGGGTGGCTTCAATCTGATGTGTTTAATGTTGACGCTGGTGGCAAGAAACACACACACTCACCCGCTGTTTCAACCTGCCTGTCATTTCATTTCATGAAACCTGATTTACTCATTTCATTTATTTCTTTTTTTTTTTTTTTTTTATTATTATTATATGTGCAGCCATTTAAAACGCTCAAGGTGTGATGCAAATCCCCGGGTCTCTGACAGCGAGCGTGCTGACTGAGGATCCATCACGCCCTTCAGTGCACTTTTTTTTGCAGGAATGGCAAAGAAACCCTGTAAAGCCACAAACTCAATTGTGCCACATCGTGCCAGACCACTGATTCCTGCTTGGCTGGGTGCTTTAATTGGCTGCA